TCCTCTTTGTAACAACCTTTTATGTAATTGAAAACTGTTATGTCCTCTCTCAGTCTTCTTTTCTCCAGACTAAGCAAACCCAGTTTTTTCAATCTTCCCTCATAGATCATGTTTTCTAGACTTTTAATCATTTTTTGTTATTTTTCTCTGGACTTTCTCCAATTTGTCCACTTCTTTCCAGAAATGTGGTGCCCAAAACTGGACACAATACTCCAGTTGAAGTTTAAATCAGCGCGGAATACAGTGGAAGAATTACTTCTTTTGTCTTGCTCACAACACTCCTGCTAATACATCCCAAAATGATGTTTGCTTTTTTTGCAACTGTTCACTCATATTTAGCTTGTGATCCACAATGACCCCCAGATCCTTTCTTGCAGTACTTCTTCCTAGGCAGTCATTTCCCATTTTGTATGTGTGCAACTGATTGTTCCTTCCTAAGTGGAGTACTTTGCATTTGTCCTTATTGAATTTCATTCTATTTACTTCAGACCATTTCTCCAGGATAATGCATTTATCCTCACAAGACCCTTGTGATGCAGGGAAGTATTTTACAGACGGAGAACACAGAAGCTATGTGACTTGCGCAAAGTCACATAGGTAGTCTGTGGGGAGCAGTTTCCCAAGTTCCAGTGGTGAGGACATCCTTCCTCTCCTGGCTCAGGCTCTGTCCTACACCGTCCTCTTTCACCTTTTCAAGTGCAATGCCCAAGCAGACGCAACAGATAAGTTCTCATTCCTGGTACCCTTTATTACCCTGCTCTCCAATCAAGTTTCAGTGCATTTGGAATAAATTTTCCCACAGTTCAATCACTACTTCTGCATTCAGATCTTTGTCAAAGATTTACTTATTAGCTCCTCTTTTTATAAACATTACGGACTTGACTCACTGCTGCCCTCCACCTTGTGCAATCATCTACACCAGGGGTCGGCAACGTTTGGCATGCAGCTTGCCAGGGTAAGCACCCTAGCGGGCCAGGCCAGTTTATTTACCTGCTAACACGGTAGGTTCAGCCGATCGCGGCCCCCACTCGCCGCGGTTCGCAGTCCCGGGCCAATGGGGGCGGTGGGAAGCGGCGCGGGCGAAGGATGTGCTGGCCACGTCTTCCCGCCACCCCCATTGGCCCGGGACGGCGAACCGCGGCCAGTGGGGGCCGCGATCGGCCGAACCTGCTGCATCAGCAGGTAAATAAACTGGCCTGGCCCGCCAGGGTACTTACCCTGGCGAGCCGCGTGCCAAACGTTGCCGACCCCTGATCTACACCAGTGACCATAAAAAGCTACCAAATCAGAATGGTGGCATTTCACACCAACTTTGCACACAATTTCACTGCTGTCAATGGCTGCACAAAGCCAAGGGTGAAACAAGCCACACATATCCGGATGGAAACATCATGGAAGAATTTCAAGTCCCACCAGTCTTCATAACCATTTCCTTTAGCAAGTTCTTTGGATTTATGTCATACAACCCTGCACCTTCTTAATGTAAGATCCCCTGACCTTTGAATAAATCTTTTCTTCCATTATTCATGTGATCCATGAAAATACCAAATGCCCTTCTTTTGTAAAAAAAAAAAGATGCATGCATAATACCTGTTTAACATCTATGCCATTCCCTTATCTTCTTTCACTTGGTTCCCCACTGTCATTCTCAAATAAATAAATGAATCCTTTTTTCTTCCTCATTTCCCTATTGTGTATACCCTGAAAAAATGTTTACTAATTGCTATAATATTCTCAGCCACCTCATGCTAATATTTGGTGCTCCAATTATCTTTTTTTCCAATGCATTAATTAAAATAAAACCCGTGCAATGACACTATTTACCAGATCATTTATGTCCTTTGTAGCTGTCTGTTTATTCTTGATACTGTTTCTTATTTCTTTGGTTGATCACATTGTCATCTGTCATTGACAATGTCAATTGTACCCTTAGGGTCAGATCATATAATCAAAAAAATAGCACACGAGGCTTGAATATAGCAGAAATATCAATAAACTTGGGCTGGGGGGGGGGAAATTGTTAGAAAAGGGATGCTACTTCTCTCGTCCTCCAGTACCACAGAGGCATCTACATGTAAGCACTGAATGTTTGTGGTTTTCTCCTTATTAAGGCATGAAGACCTTGTATTTAAGTACATTATATTCATTTAAACACTACATACCAATCACAACCACCACAACAACCTGGTGTTGGCTTCAGCCTCCTGCAGTCCAGAACCCTGCCTTCCAAAATGGAGAACAATATTTGGCCTCTGCAGCCACACCCCACCTCTTTACACAACAATGGCAGCAGCTCCACATAACATTTGGACAACACAGTTTGAGGGAAGTGGCCGGGCAGAGCCAGAGGAGATCACTTTCCATAGTGTCATCCTCCAGGGTAATAGTCACATCACGTTGGAACATTTGAGCATGCAGGTTAATTCTGACAGAATTCAACATTAACTTACAAAGATCTCTGGCAGCGCCATATTCGTAAGTGCCCTGTAGCCAGTCTTGTGACTGCAGGAGCCACCACGACGATCTCGGCAGCCTTCCATCCTGCTGCTGCCTTTGGGAAAGAAACGGAAAATACCATTTGGACAGAGCTCTCACAGCTGTATTGCAAACCAAGCATTCAAAAATCATGGGTCACCATCACAATCTTGAGGTTGTTCTTTTTAATCTCATGATTTTTAAGCCAAACAAAACGAAAACAAAACAAAACTTAATACATGTAGGGTTCTTATTTGCCTTCTGGCTTTTGAGCCTTCAGGATGCATTTGGGTCACATTTTCAAGGTTTTCCTCTGCAACCTTGAGAGCTAGAAATGTACTGTGTTTTTTTTTAAATTAAACTGAGGTTTTCACATATTTGGCTTGTGATATACAGAAGGTCAGACTGGAAGATCTGGTAGTCCCTTCTGGCCTTAACTCTATGATTATGTTCACATGATTTCAGGAGCTGGGGCTTTAAGAAAAGCATTTAATGTAATGAAATATTGTGAAATTGGGATAGTTGACAACACTGCCACAGTCACGTGACCCAGTGCCTCTTCCACTATTGTGTAGCCGATCCTTAAGGCTACTCCCTGGTATGTTCAGTCCCTTCATCTACCATCTCCATTGTTGATAGGTACAATCACTACAGGGTATTAAAGGGGACATGCTGCTCTCCTCCCTCAAAATTTTACTGTGCTATTTATGTTTTCTGCTTCTCTTCAGTCCTCTCCCAGAAGAAGTTTCATTCATCCTCTTCTCCTTTCCCTTCTGCCTCTGATCCACATTCATAATTCCAAATGCAGACAACTGGGTGTTGTACACCCAGATCAGATACATGATTTAGGGCTTTGAATAGTCCCACTACTTTTTTCTACACTGGGGTTCTCGAAGGAGCACAATAAACGTGGGTGCCCAACTCCCATTCAATTTCCCTGGAATCTGAGCACCTTCATCCTTTGAAAATCCCAGCCCTATCTGCTAATTTTCATCATAGCCACTGCAGTCTCATAGGTGTTTCACACCTAATAGTGATGAGCCCACCATGGCCAAGATATCAAATCAGTTTTAAATTATTTTCATGCTCAGCTCATTTGCTTAGGAATATGTTTAGGAAAATTTATATTCCTCTTGAGTGTTCCATCAGTTGGATGTTGCCTCCAGGAATATACATGTTGAGTCTTATCAGTAAAAGATTCCACTACCAGTAGCCCAACACGTTTTATGGTAACTGAAATCACTGCAGTGCTAAGGAAAGATGTATGACCTACTTGCATAAAAAAAAAGTACTTGCTTTCTTCTTTATTCCAAATAACCTCTCCTAGATTGTTCAAGTATATATTTCATACATCCTCCATTACACTCACCAACATCCCCAAACTCTTTATCCTAATACCCCTAGTCAGTTTCTGATGTCTTTATATATTACATTAGCATACAGTCTATCCCATCATTTCCACTTCAGTGGCAGTCCATCTCTATGTGCTATTCCAGTTTATTCACAAAGCCCACACCTTCCATATTGCAACATCAAGATGACCATTCATCCAAATAATCCTGGTCAGCACTGTCACAGCTTTGACAACAGATGAGTGTACCTGTCACATTAGATAAAATATTCCCTTTGATTCAGATTAAATGGCAGGATGATACGTAGATATAATCTGTCACATGTGGAGCCTTGGTGAAAAGACAAATCTATCAAACACGAAGTGCATGAAGAGAATGAAAAAGCACATGAAATGTAATGATATTTAAAAGATCCTCCTTTCCAAAGGAAAACTTAATAGAGGAGAAGCTATTAAGCCTCTTACTAGTTAGAGCAAAATCACTCTCTCACCGCGCGCGTACACACACACACACACACACACACACACACACGTGCCCTTAATACACTATGGTCTTCACTATGGTCTCCTATTCATACTCCCTGCTTATTTCTTCCAGCCATCTTGTTTCCATCAACAATGCTAATAGGTTGAGATGTTCAAAGCAGTGCAAGGGAATTAGCCACACGTCTTCCATTAGTTAACAGACTGTGTTCCTTCTATTCATTCTAATGGAAGATATGTGGCTAAATCCCCTGCACAGCTCTGAAAATCTCAACCCCAATCTCTAAGCACAGTCAAGGGAACAGAAGCACAGTCGGAAGTCAACATCTTTTATGTCCAGCCTCAATTTATTCATACTTGTTCTATGCCTTTTTAGTAAGTTTCATATTGCCAGGATGGTGAAAAGGGGCCTAAGTGAAAATGTCAACCAGGTCCTGTGTTTCCATTAACAAAAGCAGATAGGCTCCTACTTCCCTGGCCATAGAAACTGCAGTAACTCCTCAAGAAAGAGTATTCACAGGAAATGCCAAATGTGTGAGGCAAAAGGCACCCAGATACCACCGTGACAGCCATCTACCACGCACTGCAAATATTTGTGGTGATAGTAATAATAAATAATTCATCCTTGGTGTAACAATTTATGTAAATGGAATTACACCAAGGATTAATTGGGCCCCTAATACTTTAATTTTCGTGATCTATTTTGAGGGATCACACTGGAAATTACTCTAATTCCAAGATATGTATTGAAATCATCCTTTGTACACAAATGTCAGTGAGCATGTGACTCTCATTCTAACTTCAGGAGGCCTTGTTCCAGAGGCAAAGAAGTCATCCTCCACGCTGAAGGGCATGGAAGAGATCCAACAAGCAAAATACCCAGTAAATGTGACTATTAGGCATACATGAGGGAACATGTCCTCTTCTTCAAAACCGAGCTGGGGAAAATGCAATCCCACTAGGATTTAGGCTCCTAAGAAACTTAGGTGCTTTTGAAAATTTCATGCACAAAGTACATTATTACAAGCCCAAAGATTTCCAAAAATAGCCTAAACTTCGGCTCCTAAATTCCTAATTCCCACCCCCCAATTTTCAAACTGGCACCTAGAACTCATGCCTAAATTCTATATTCAGGTATGTAGGATGAGATTTGTAAAAGTCCTCAATAAAGTCCATGAGTTAGGCCAATGTTTTTGAAAATCGCACCCATAAGTTACTTATGATAACGTTAGGCACCTAGGTTTGAAATCTGAGCACAATATTTGTAGTAATAAATTAACATGAATTCTGACATAAAGGGACTAATTTTCACATTACCGGGGGAAATTAAGTCAAAAGCTGTAAAGTGACAACAATTTTATCTTCCTTCAAGTTATTTTTCAAAATTCACTGTTTCTGTAGTGAATACAGAAAACTGCAACCTGATACTGAGTAGGAAGAAGGCCAGTTGTAATGACTGTTCCTGACTGGCTAAGAATTGCACACATTTCTTGTAACCCCATGACCCTTACCTGACCATCACTGCCCGCTTGTCTGTTTCATCCACCAGTTACATCTCATCTTTTAGATTACAAATCTAAAAGATAAATAGGGACTGCTATTTTGCAATTGCAATTACAAAAACTGTGCATGCAGCCTTCATATTTGCATGTGCATATGGCCAGTTAGACACAAAGTGTGCAATTACACATGCACCTTTGCCAATAGCAAACTGGGCTTCTGCTGATGTGAAAATCAGTACTCTACATTATTTATTTTGACTGAGGGTTTTTTGGCCTTGGGAAAGTCACTGACCCTCCCTAGATTAGCATTCCCATCTGTAAAATGAGGATAGCCTTTTCTTATTTAGTTCACAGGGGAATTGTCAGAATTAATCAGTTCATATTTGCTAAGTGCTTTAGAGATGAAAAGTGCTATGTTATTCTAAGATAGATACAAGAAATCACATCCACAGTGATGAGAAAATAGACATTGTTCTGAATAAAAACAAATAAAAACAGCATGACCAGAGCATGTGTTAGCAGGTTGTTAACAGTTATTTTCTTTTAAATGTTTTCAAAAAGTTAGTTCTCAATGGCCATAGCTCCTTAATAACTCAGTTGCTTCTCCCTCCCTTCTCTGTCTCCCTTTCTTCAATGCAGTTTGATTGATTGCTTTTAAAAAAATACAGTTTCATTTTTTAATGTGACTCATATACTGGAAAAGTAGAATCAGTCATGAAGACAATTGTGTAATTAAGCAAAAAATTCATAGAACGGGGGGAAGGAGAAAGAGAAAGACACAGAGCTACTGTAGCTATTTTAATCACCAAAAGTAGTATCAGACCGAAAGAAAGCCAAGCCAGCCTCATAGCCAGCAGAGGGAGCCAGGAAAAGTGCTTACGATGTAGGCTTAAAGAATAAAGAGAAACTAAAACAGATGCAATTTTTTCACCTCTTTAGGGCTTTGCAAGCATTTATACATTATCTGGTGGTTGTTTTTTTAAATGCCTCTGTTTCTAACATTACAAATTTAAAATAATTAAGTAACTTAAAAGGCCTCACTGTTTTTCTGCAGAAGAGTATAATATTCGATTTCTACAGTTTACAGAGATGCAGCAGAACATTTGATGAGCTTTGGTTACTTAATTCCCAGGAAGTCTAATCTTCATTCAAGAAACAGAAGTTCTCCTGAAGTGGTCTGCAGGACTCAGATACAAGGAATACACACACAATGAGCCAGATGTTATGTTTTCCCCTCCATACTACACTATAGACGCCTACCTGTGCTGTATAATAATAATAATACCTAGCTCTTATTAGCACTTTTCATCAGTAGATCTTTACAAAGAGGTCATCATCATTACCCCCATTTTACAGTTGGGGAAACTGAGGCACGGGGAAATGAAATGACTTGACTCACGTGCACATGATGCTGATACAGACACACAAGCGGAGCTGGCTGAATACTATTAGATGAATAACGTATTCACTAATTTTTGCTGTTATTCATCGAATACGAATATTGGCCAAATATTTTTTCTATTAATCCACTAGCTCTACACAAGTGAACAATTTTCATGGACTGATTAATAACACCACCCCAGTCAATGAATCTTAAAAATGAAAGGGCCAGCTCTTCAGCTAGTATGAATGGGCACGGCTCAATTGACTTCAGTGCAGCCACACTCATTTGCACCAGACCTGCGGCTCAGAACTGGGCGAATACTGCCAAAAAAAGTTTCCAGAGCTATTCAAAGACTA